AAAATTGTCAGTCGCAGCGAGTCGCACATGTTCTACTTTTGTGATGCGACGGCGGCTAGTTCCACCGGTCGCAAGCCATTATTTTCATGGTTACTACCCGACATAAGCTGCCTTACGTTGCTCTGACGAGATTATATTGTGCATAATGAACGAATGCACGCGAATAAAAACAATTCAGTGCATACAGTCATGTACACAACAATGCACACAGCAACAAGTCATGTATAACTCATTTAGTTTGACCTAAGCGCCTTCTGTGATTGCCTGTAACTGGTCGGCAGGCAGTCGCTGTCAGTCGACGTCGCCGTCGACCTAAGCAACTCAGTTGCAGTGCGTCGCATCGCGTCGCTTCAATCGTAACCCGACCTACACCAGGCTAAACGTTTGCATCAATTATTAAACCACATCGGCACAATAATAAAATTCGTTGTTTGCCTTCACCCGAATCCAGGCTGACAGTTTGGTTAGCGTAGACGGTTTTTTTCGGGGCGGGTTTTTTTTACAAATTCAGCATGGTGTCATACAGTGCTGCGGACTTTGTGTTGTGTGGGAGATACATTTTATGTTGAATGTTTGTGTTTGCTTGGTAAGCATATAAGTATTGCGCTACAGGGATTTATATAATGTACATGCAGGATACAATTTGTTTAAAAGCAAAGAAAAGAGTCCGGCCTCCTTCTGGCGCGGGTCGTGCGCTGGCAGTCGCATGGGTGCTTAGGTCGAACTTTCTCTGCGACTTTGCAACCAATTGCAGAAAATCAGTCGCAAGGCAATCAAATCACGTCGCGTCGCAAGGCCGATCTAAGCCCGGCTTTAAATAATGAGCGTCTGGGGTCGTAAACTATAGGAAAAATCAAGTCGTGTAGCTGTACGGCTATTACGGCTTCAAGAATAAACAGTCGTGGCAAAAATCTGTCTGAATAACAGAATAACATTTCACGCCTGCTAGGTTAACGAACGGATGTTTGGTAATTATTCACAAAGCAGCCATGATTTTTCACTGCTACTCCAAACACAAAACAAATGATCGACACAATAATTATAAAATACACCCGAGCACACAGATCAATTAGTGCAATTATGAAAGCTCAGGTAGTTAAAGGGACTAAAACCTAAATTCATTTATTTAGCTCACTAATCAGTTCTAGACAATGAAATAAACTTGCCCAGGCTTGAATTAGAAGCCAGCTCACGGTGAATTCAACTACGTACTTGGTTATATGCCATGCAATTTATAGCGTTTTGTCCTGTAGCCCGTGGCTTTTTCCACTAGGCCCTTGAGGCATCACGTCCTCTCTCCTGACACTTTTACTCACAGTGTCTCACACTCACAGGCTTAGTATTTTCACAACAATAATGTTCAGTCAAACTCCTGCTTACCTCTTTGTGGCTGAACCTGCCCTGTGACCCACATTCCGCATCAGGGCATGTGAGCAGAGAACAGTTTCCCTCATTGATCAACAGAGAGAGATATTTGTTTAGACACTGAAAGAGGGCAAAACAGAATCGCAGTTAGTTCCTTTTTGCTTATTCTACTACAGAGCATTTCACAGTCAAACAGTACAAGCAAGCAAGCAAGTAAGTACATGGCTAGGAATGGTAACACATACATGTGAACACACATACGTACACACACGTGCATGCACACGAACAGGCGCACATATGCACACGCACACGTACACACACACACACATGATACACATATATATATTTTATGTACTACATTACTTAATATAATAAATTAAATCTAGATATAAATATTGTAACACACAGCCACATACAAAGCTCAACAAAACCGTGTTGCCAACTCAATAAAAGAATGGTCATTTAAAATTCCCTGGCTACATATGCACAAACCTACATTTTTAATCTCCAGACAGTGTACGTTATTAAAATTTTATGCTTCTACTGTTCTAGTCAATCGGCATGTCCTGCTACTTTATAGTGTAATCTCTGCACATACACCTTTTACATAGAAACACACACCATACCCCCCTACACCCCCCAACACACACACACATAAGCACCATTAAAATAATCCAGATCAGGGTTTCTTCTGAGGGAAAATTAGACAAAGGAGGTAATGGCCAGTTTGGGAAAAAACGCCCATGATGGATTCAAATACAGGATGTATTGATATACTTATAGGTATTCATATATAGATACAGGATATACTTATCAGTAAATACAGGAACATTTTCACAACGGCGATGTTAAATTTGACAACGGCGGTGCGCCACTGTGCCTCTTATGTACATAAGAAACCCTGCAGATTACTGGTGGCAAACACTTTCACAAAGTTGAAGTTGATGTGTACATGCATCGTATTCGTTGAATATTCTAATCTTACACAGATGATGAAAGGACTTATACACTTCACATGTCACTATGGTAAGCTTGCTGTGGAGCAGACGTGTGCGCCCATCTTCATGTCTATAGATTAGACCTACTATCATCACACTGGCCACATTGATAACGACTTACCAAAGCTGTCCATTTTCAAATATCAAATATTATGATCTCTATCCTAGCAGTGACTAAGAGTATGCTAAGCACTGACCAAGAGGAACACAAGTGACATTGATGGAGGGGATAATTTTACGTTGCTCAATATTTTAGTATTAATTAGTGATGTCACGATCATCGATTATACTCGATCATCGGTTGAACAGTGGCCTTAACCAAGCGCTTGCGGTGTATCAAAAGTGCCATAATCGATTTCCATAAAAAAAAAATATTTTTTAACAAAGAAATAAATGTAAAACTTGAACAAGAAAACTTGCGAAAAGTGTGATGAGATATCTAGAGATATCATCGCCTACTAAAAAAAAAATACAAGCGTTATCCTTTATTAACATACATTAGTATAATACACCACAGTAGTAACAGTGCAAAACAAACAGTAAACAGCGGCTAAACAAGCGAGCACATACATGCACACACGTAACCATGACATGACGGTTACGCACACGCAGGCATTCAACACCCGTCGAGTATACCGATTGCTAAACCGATCATCGTTACTTGGCGGTCAAACCGATGATCGGATTACGAAATTACAACGCGAATTGACAACACTAGTTATTTTAATCGCCAAATGTTTAACAAGATACAAATTACAATCCTACCGTTTCTGCAGAAGATCCACACTCCACATCCTGAATCAGTGCAAGTAGCCCGTGCAACGTACTTCAGCGCTGCATAAGGCGCATGTAAGCACCGGTTGATCTGCCCGCCAACTCAGAAGCCACATGCCTGGACTATTTGATACACGACCAATCTTGGCCATGATCACGGCGTTGACCTTTTGCCTATTGGCAGTTATCTCCGGGTATTTGCGCACCTACAAGAATGAGAAACTGACAAGTATGTGTTGCTTAGCACCGCACAAAGGCGAATATAGCAAGAGGAATGTTCGAATGAGAAAAAATAACAAAGTAATGTTGTATGTACACAATGACATTTCAATGAATGCATAGCATAATTTAAAGTATTCTGTGGCAACATGTCGTAGAACATTCGTACCCGTCTAGAAGAATACGTCAACTCAACGAGATGACTATTTGTGTGGCGGTTGCCCAAGTTCAAGCGAAATTGTTGCTATATGACAGAATGTGGCCTGCAATATTTTCTACTTAATATCCATAAACAGCATACACACTGCATGTAATCATTTTATACTAGGTAATCAAGTAACACATTCCGCTATTTAGGTTGAACTATACTTCGCTGTATTCTTTGCTCGATTGTGGCAGCTTGTTTTTATGAAATAACCCCTTTAACAGGTGCACTGAATACAGAGCTAAATTAAGCTACAACGCGATATAAAACACAATCTGGGTATCTTATTACTAATCTAATCTCAGCGTAAGGAGAAAAACACGTCCAGCTCAGAACGCTGCTATTTCCAAAGGTATATGTGAAAACTCTATTAATCTACAAAGAAAAAAAAAAGGTTCTCAACCTCACTATCTTCATGGTACCACACTCAACAAAAACTACAAGCAATATTTCGAAATAGATTGAATTACATAAGAGCTGTTTTCGAAAAAAAGATACTACACCAACAATACCTTCTTGCAACATAAATCCAACTTTAAAAAAGACCGGAATACATAACTAAATATCGTCAATATTAAAAAAATAAAATCCACCATTTTTGCCAGATAAATTACTGACGCAAGAGCAAAATTCCTATTACTACATGCACTGCAGATATGGCAAACACGGTCTTAACTCTGTTATCAGCAAGAAGGCCCTGACCAAATGGCTAAACAAAAATTCCAATTGACTATTGGCAGGATTACACTAAATAGTCTCCCCCTGCCCAATCATAAAAGCTTCTTTCTTCAAACCATTGTCTGTGAAGAACATACTGATATAATAACAAGTGCCGCATGTCCAGCCCGACCAGTGCTCATCTGAGGTCTGCCTGCCCTCTCACTTACTGGCCTTTGTTTCTGGAACTGCACAGATTGAAGAGCCAGCAGCTGTCCATCGCAAGTAAACTCGGCTACTTTTAGAGCGATCGAGTGCAACAGAAGCTAGCCTTCCGTAGCCACTAAAGAGGAGTTGTATGTAACACCTAAAAGACCCAATCCACAACCCTAATAGGGCCCCCGCTCTCCACAACAAGGCGCGGCCGCGGCGCCGGAACGCCACGGGAAACCCGGCGTCGTTCACACGCATACCGCGCAAAAGTTCAAAATCCTATCTATAATCTTATAGCAGCAGTCTCCACTGACAACGACACGGGAAGCCAGCCGAGCGTTATCACGACGACTGCGCGAAAGCTCAATGAGGTTGACTTTTTGCGGCTGAACCGTGGACGGCTTTTGAAAACACAATTTGAACCAATCAACGCGACTTGCTTTTTTTATCACATGTTCTGCTCACGCTTACCATCAGCCCAATGTGACAACAAGCCACGATGCCCGATAATTTCTATCATCACTGAACCAGAGGGAGTGAACACAATGCCCGCTCAGACACAATTTGCAGCGAAATCACAACGTATTTTTTTTCAGCACAACGGCCGCTGCGTGTTTCGCCTGTGTCGTTACGGTTGCCCTGATTATTAGCTGATGCATATGTTGAAGTGCGGTGTTTATTCCTTGTTCGTGTGCTGTCTCAGGAGTTAGTAATATGTGATTCCCGAGAATTATGTAAAGCCTAACGTGATTCGTGGTGATAGTTGCAATACAAATGTATTGCTATATATTTATTTCTCAAAACGGCAGCCATTACTACAGGACACTAGGCATTTACCTGCTGGACAATAGCTCGCCTAAAGCTTTGAAATCATGCAGAAGCACACCTTAAAACAATTTCTTCCACCCGAGAGTTCAAATCTTCTGATGCGGCGCAGGTCTCTGGTTTTAATACTTTTAAATGTCTTGCTACTAGACCAATGACCCTCTCTACACAGAATCCTCGTTAGATGCGATACGTCTATCCCTAACAAACTGTCTCGGTGCCATAAGTTGCGCGCATTTCCCTTTGAGTATTGAGCGGCGTGTTTACATGCACGTATTACATAGCAAACAGATCCTGAACCATGCATTTCCTCTATCTGACATGATCGCGTGTTCACCCCTGGCTCAAACATACCCTACTACACAGCCTGGCCGACCTACTCAATAATTTGGACGGCTCACTGGCGCTCACCACCATAGCTATCACTGCACGTTATTAAAATGCGTCTCTTTGGGCCTACAGCCGATCATCGTTTTTAAAGTGTTCTTGTTTTGCGCTACATAGAAATGATAAGCACTCTGGTCCATCAACTTCTACTTTGGCTTTGTGAATGGATGGTCTGCGTTGCATCTAAAATAACTTCGTTGTGTTTGCGGAACAGTCTTGTTGAAATTTGTGGTCGCATATAACGATGCTCAATACGTTTCCCCGAATCTGCCACATTGTGATTTATTTCGCTCACCGTTGCAAAAAAAAGCAAATTTATCCAGACGCTATTAATTATGTCTGACACTGCTTGGACGAGGACACCTATAAACCTTATGACAACAGCATACGCCATCATCGAAGAACCACTGCCTGACCTTCCATAAGTGTCATTGAGAGCAACTGGTCTTCTGGAGAATGCAGATGACATTTTGATCGCAGCTCAAATGCTGGAATGGCACGTCCAAGGTACACTGATGAATAACATTTAAAATGTTATCGTAGCTATGAAAACCAGGTGAAAATATTGCTACAGCAGAATTGTCATGTTCATGAAAGTTGCAATGCTTCCTCGAGCATTGAGGACACTTAGAGAGTGAGCACTTGAGATGACCGAACAGCTCCGGTCGCTGCGAGATCCTGCATGATGTCAATCGCTCCGTCGAGACCATGTCCTCAGAAAACTGTCTAAAATCTGCAATGATGCCCATGACTTTTGACCTGTGACCTCCAATTTGCTGCACACTGAGTGATGGGCTTTTCCTACCTGATGCTATCCCTACCGACTATCACGAGCCGTAGGTCGAGCCGGTTTTAGGATTTGTTGCCGCAATTCTGCATTTCCTCCCTATACTTTTAAGTTAAGGAGGGAATGTTCCCTCTTTCTTTTACACTTCTTGACCTTTGACCTTTGACCCCCAGCTTCGACATTCCCCCAACTCGTTTTCGGATTTATGGCCGCCCCCACGTCCCCGAATATTGCTGACCGTACGTCGAGCGCGTGTTAAGATTGCGTGACCCAAACTGTTGGGCGCGCGACCGGACGGGACGCGCGACCCGTACGCCGCACGGACGATAATGCCGCATTCTCACTAAAGCTGCGCTGATTGGGGACTATGTTCAGCATGAGCTAAAACATTGTGTGAAAAACATTATCTACAAACGGACTATGATGTTCTAGTCAACCTTGCTGAAATATTCTCCACTCTTTCAATTTTGACTTAGAAAGGCAACCAGACTTTGTCACAAAAACCATGCACTGCGCCCTAATATCAGAATCTAATACGATACTCTCCTAAAATCTATAGACGCAAGTGGCTAATTTCGGGTGGAATTTGTCATTGACTTGCCCTCTAAAGCTTGATACTGTTCAGCACAATATTATTGCTTTCCAAGCTAGAGCCCACTATGGCTGTAGAGGAACAACTATCTATTTAACTAGCCATTATCAAATCGCAAACACATGTTCGCATCCTTCTGCGACATTTCAATGTGGTGTGCCCCCAGGGAATCTACTTTGCGAGTCCCTTTCTTTTTCTAATATATTATGCTTGAATGAACCTACTCCCTTAGCCTCAAAATCTTTAGCGTTCATCGATTATTTGCTGACGATACTACCAACCAAACCTTATTTATTACAAGCTTCAGATATAAAAAGACCTTGAAACTAATGCTAAAACATGCAAATTAACATGAAACTTAAACTGGCTGGCACGTGCCAAATAGCATTCTCTAATTATTGAAAACACAGCGTGCCGCGCGAAGCGACAGCGCTCATCTAACGTTCTTACTGCGCGGTGACTCTTGGGTGGGAGTGGTGCGGATTCTAGTTAAACCTGTTAGTCCCAAAATGTGTCTCACATACAACGCCGAAACGCGCGTTGTTCGAATGCACAGGGATGGGTATCGAAGGAACCTTCTCCAAAGGCAATGCTTCGTTCGGGCCCAGCGTTATGAAAGTTGCCACGAGATGGCGCGTACGTTTACAAGTGTCTCAGTATTAAAGATGGAAGCTCCCATCGTACGTAGTAGCAACAACTATTTGCAAGATTCAAGAATAGGTAAGCACTCATTCCATTTACCTACGAAGCTCTACAGAGTGCAATAGAGAGCTGCCACCTGTAAACTAATTAACGCAGGCAAAAAACTTACACAAGCCACCACCACACTGCAACTGGCAGCTGGCCATACCGTTACATTGTAAACCAATACTGGACAGTACAGTATATGCATGAAATTATAGGATTTAAGCGAGCATAAACCTTCTTAAACCATAAGTTTAGCTTTTGAAATTTTCACATGTGACATTGTCAGCCTCCGTTTACATCCAGGCATGTTATTAGATTCTACTAGCAAACCCGGCAGGTCAAATTCTTCTAACAGACAGACTAAACATAATCCATTGTTTAACCCTCCATCGTGTGAGGCCGTCAAGAAGGTTATCCGACACTTACTCTTCGCATCTTCAGCAGCAGGCGACATTTCATGGTCTTTCAATAAAGCCATAAAAATGCTAGCTTCACCGCCTGAAACAAACAAGTTTTCAATCGCTCCGGTCAGACCATGTCCACTCAGCACAAATGTCTAAAATCTGCCCTGTGCCCCATTGACCTCTTGACCTGTGACCTCCAATTTCGGCGCAAGCGATGGCTTTTCCTAGCCATGCGATGCTAGTCACACCCGGACCTATCTCCGCACGGCCTAGGCTCGAGCCGTTTTTAGATTTGCTGCCGCATTCTGGGCATTATCCTTTCCCTATACGCATTAAGTTAAGAGGTGAATGTTCCCCCTTCTTTTACACCTCTTTGACCTTTGACTTTGACCCCAGCTCTCGACCATCCCAACGCGCTTTTACGATCCCCCCCGACCTGTGCCGCCGATATCCGTGACCGTACGTCAAGACGGTTAAGATTTGATCCCAAAACCTGTTGCACGGGCGACGGAACAGACGACGGCCCAACGGTACGGCGGTACGACGACGATCGTGCAGACTTCGTACAAGCTGCATCTGACTATGTCAGATGAGCTAAAAACTAAATATATGATCACTGGTAATAAAAATATTAATTATGAAACGTTTGAGATTTACATTGATAATTACAAGCTCCAACGTGCTAATAATGTAAAATACTTGGGTGTTTATTTCGACAGTAAACTAAAGTGGGACTTTCATGTTAAAGTTATCAGCACCAAATTGGCCAAATCTGCTGGAATTATTTCTAAACTTAGGCACTACGTTAATGTTAACACACTCAAAATGGTTTACTTCTCTTTAGTCTACCCATACCTTAATTTCTATATGCTATACTAAGCTGGGGGTCGGCAACTAAAATCACCCTACAGCCAATCAATAAAGTTCACAATGCAATTATCAAATACATCAAATTTGCTGAGATGAGAGACCCTATTTCTTCAAACTTGGTCTTCTAAAACTTGCGGATATTAATCAACTTGAGCTTGCTAAATTTACGTATAAATATACCCACAATGAACTACCTGATCTTTTTCGAAATTACTTCAGAATCAGATTTACTGAGAAATCAGAATTTCTCATGTACACTCTCACTTCACTAAACTTGCAACATCAATGTGTTATCATCTACCAAGGTTCAATACTGCTCGTGGTAAAAAATCACTAAAGTTTGTAGGTGTCAAACTATGATGCAATATACCAATATATATTAAAAGTACATTGTACATTGTTTTTATTTTGTGCTGTATTTGTATTGTATTGTACATGAATTGCGTTGTCACTGCATGTACTGTACATTGTAATGTATTGTACTTATATTGTAATGTATTTTATTGTAAATTGTACATTGTTTGTATTTTGTATTGTATTGTACATTGTACTATACATGAATTGTTTTGTCACTGTACTGTACATTGTAATGTATTGAATTGTATGTATTGTACATATATTGTAATGTATTGTATTGTACATATATTGTACATGAATCTCCAATATTGTATAGATACTGGTTATATATTGCATATTCTACTTCGTGTACTGCCTACGTACCTCATTCTTTAGTTCGACAGCTTCTATAAGCTTTTTCTATTATAGGATATTGCTGTTTTACCTCACTAACCTTTACACAGACTTGTACATATATATAATATGTTATCATTTGTATATATACTCTTTCGCTTTTATATGTTTTCATTTTCTAACCATGGACTGTATTAGCTCTCGTACTATACAGTAAAAACCCGCATATAAGAACCTAGTGATTAAGAACCTGTTAGGCTAAGATTTTCCATTTAGAGCCCCTTGACATAAGAACCTGTTGTAGCCTAAAATTTGAAACAGGTTCTTATTTGATTGTTACTTGGGTCCAACCGATGATCGATTACGAAATTACAACCGATTGACAACACTAGTATTAATGCCAAATGGTTTAAAAGATTACACTTTACAATCTTACCGTTTTGCAGAAGACACACTCACAGTCCTGAATCCAGTGCATTGCCGTCAACGTACATTCAGCGTAGCATAAGGCGCATGTAAGCACCGGTTGATCTGCCGGCAACTCAGAAGCCACATGCTGACTTATTGAATACACGACCATCTTGGCCATGATCACGGCGTATGACCTTTTCCTATTGCAGTTTATCTCCGCGGGTATTTCCACCTACAAGAATGAGAAACTGAAAGTATGTTTCCCTTTACACCGCACAAAGACGAATATCGCAAGAGGACTGTTGAATAAGAACAAATAACAAAATAATTTGTAATGTACACAATGACATGCTAATGAATGCATAGATATGAAGTTATTCTGTGGCTAACATGTCGTAGAACATTTGTACACCGTCTAGAACCAATACGTCACTCAATGAGATTCACTTTTGTGTGGCGGTTGCCAAGTTCAAGCGAATTGTTGCTATATGACAGAATGTGGCTGCAATATTTTCTACTTTATATACCATAACAGCATACACTCATGGTAATTTTTATACTAGAGTAATCAGTAACACATTCGCTATTAGGTGAAACTATCTTTCGCTATATTCTTCTCGATTGTGCAGTTATTTATGAAATAACCCCTTTAACAGGTGACTGAATACAGAGTAGAATTAAGCTACAACTGGCATATAAACAAATCTGGGTATCTTATTATAATCTAATTCACGTAAGGAGAAGAAACTCCACCTCAAACCGTGGATTTCCAAAGGTATATTAAACTCTATTAATACAAGAAAAAAAAAGGTTCTCAACTCACTATCTTCATGGTACCACACTCCAACAAAAACTTTACAAGCAATATTCAAATAGATTGAATCACATAAGAGCTTTCGAAAAAAAAGATACTACCAACAATACCTTCTGCAACATAAATCCAACTTAAAAAAGACCTGGAATACTATAAATAATATCGTCAATATAAAAAATAAAACCACCATTTTGCCAGATAAATTACTGAACAAAGACAAAATTCCTATTACTGACATGACTGAGATATGCAACACGTTTAACTCCTTTTAGCAGAAGATAGGCCCTGAAATGGCTGAAAAATTCCAATTGCTATGGAGGATTAATACACTAAATATCTCCCCCTGCCCAATCATAAAAGCTTCTTTCTTAAACCCATTGTCTGTGAAGAAATACTTGATATAATAACAAGTGCCGCATGAGCGACAGTGCTCATCTGAGGTCTGCTGCTCTACTGTACTGGCCTTTGTTTCTGAACTGCAAAAGGTTGAAAGCCTGTTCCATCGCTAAACCGGCTACGTCGTCATCAAAACTGTTTAGCATAGGTATTAACACTAAAACTAAACCCTAAAGCCCCGTCTCCACACACGCGGCGCGGCGCGGAACGCCACGGAAACGGCGTCGTTCACCCCTACCGGCAAAGTTCAAATCTATTATATCTTATAGCGCAGTCTCCACTGACACGACACGGCGCCAGCCGGGTTTCACGACGACGGCGAAAGTCAAATGAGTTTGACTTTTGCCGGCTGACGTGACGGTGAAAACACAATTGAACCAATCAACGCGATTGTTTTTTTATCACATGTTCTGCTCACGCTACCATCAGCCAATGGACAACAAGCACATGCATAATTTCTCATCACTGAACCAGAGTGAACACAATGCGCTCAGACACAATGCGCGAAATCACAATGTATTTTTTTTCAGCACAACGGCGCTGCGTTTTGCTGTGTCGTTTCGTGCCGCGAGTGTGGAGACTAACTGTGTGTGGAGTATGCTTAACTGTGCTGCCTTTAACACTATATAACTCTGTTGCATTTAACACTGTATAACGCTGTTGCATTTAACACTGTATATGCAAATCCGGGACATCATCTATATCCTTGAACCGCAGCGCTCCATTCGGGCAGCTGTCTAATATCACAATGCCGGATACGCGGAGAATTAAACGAGTAACGCATATATTCTGCCTAATATAGTTGACTATTCGCGTGGCAGTCAATAAACGTCAATATTTACAGGAGAGTATAGCTAAGAACATGACTGGTGTGCTACCAGGTATACATAGAATATTTTGAAAATTTAATACATCTGAAATTCAGCTTCGCGGCGCTGACATTAAGCTAACGCGCGCAATGAACTAGCGATGACTAATGCGTGGCGCGCTTCGTGCGTCAATAAACTGGCAACTATTCCACAGAGAGTATGAAATTCAAGGCCTGGTAGCGGAGAGATCTTGTGCATAATATATTATAGATACCTATAGATTCATTTCAAATTGGTGCTTACGGCTATACTCTCTGTGAAATATTGAATTATTGACGGCACGAATTTAGCAATATATTAGCAAATATATGCGTGTCGCGTCATGTCCGTACCCGCGGCTTGAATATAGACGCTCCCGAGCCGAGTTCGTGCTTTGTTTTCATGCGGCGCGGCTCACCGGACGTATTGTAAGAGGGAAAGTGACCGTCACTCGGCGCCCCAACGCTATAGGCTATGCCCAGCGATACAGTTGCCTCTGGGCAACCCGTAACGCGGTGCTGCTGCCAAGCGCGGGCAACTGTACGGCGGGCTACCAGTAAAAAACCCGCGAAGTAAGAACTCTCTCTCTCCAGTTAGACCTAAAAGGTTCTATATAATAATCTAGAGTGGTAGTACTAGGGAAATTAGGCTATTATGAGGATTCTTAATAGGTTCTTATTCTCTTTATAAAAAAAAGGCCTGCTGTGCATCGGGCTGGATAGAATATTGGTGTAGGTCACATTGTTTCATAGAAAATATTCATATAAGATTAAATCTAAATGACTGGCAATTTAGACAAAATCACAAACCTATTCTACCGTCTTATTTCTTTTATATGCCCCTTATATAGCTATCCCTAATAGAAGGTATATAGCAGCCACCAGAAAATAACCTTATGTTTTTAGTTGATTATCCGAAGATTATTTTATAAGTGTTAACTGAATTTTATCAAATAGACAACCTGTATTCAAATTTTAGGCTACAGACAGGTTTCTTATGTCCAGGGGCCTCTAAACAATGGAAAATCTTAGCCCTAACAGGTTACTATCATAGGTTCATATAATATGCGGGTTTGTTACTGTATAGTACGAGAGCTAATACAGTCCATGGTTAGAAAATGAAAAGCAATTATAAAAGGCAGCAAAAGAGTATATATACAAAAATATAACATATTATATAATGTACAAGTCTGTGTAAAGGTATAGTGAGAGTAAAACAGCAATATCCTATAATCAGAAAAAGCTTATAGAAAGCTGATCGAACTAATAAGAAAATGAGGTAGCGTAGGCAGTACACCGAAAGCTGAGAATAATGCAATATTAACCAGTATCTATACAATTATGGAGATTCATGGTAACAATATAGTTGGTACAATAAAGCAAATACATGTAGCAAATATAGTACAATACAACAATTCATACATTAACAATGTAACAGTAAGCAGTGACAAAACAATTCATGTATAGTAACAATGTACAATAGCAATCAAAATAACAAACAATGTACAATTTCTACAATAAAATACAATTAGCAATATAAGTACAATCATTATACAAATGTACAGTACATGCAGTGACAACGCCAAGTTCAGTACAATACATATACAAATACAGCACAAAAATAAAAAACAATGTATACAATGTACCTTTTAATTAGTATATTAGGTATACTTGCATACATAGTTTGTACACCTACAAACTTTAAGTGATATTTTAGCCCAGACGAGCAGTATTAGAACGCGGACTTGGTAGATATAACAATTGATGATTACGCAAGATATTAGTGAAAGTGAGAGTAGTACATGAAGAAATTCTAGATAAGTAATTTCGAAAATAGGATCAAGGTAGTTCATTGTGGGTATATTTAACGTAAATTTTAAGCTAAAGCTGCAAGTTTGAGTTAAATACGCGCAGGTTAAGAAGCAACACAAGTTTGAAAGAAATAGGGTCTCATCATCTCAAGGCAAATTGATGTATTTGACTAATTAGCAGCTTGGTGAATTTATTGATTGGCTGTCAGGTGATTTTAGATTGCCGACCCCAGTTCACAGCTTAGTAATATGCAATATAGAAATTAAGTATGGGTGTAGACTAAAGAGAAGTACCAATTTGAGTGTGTTAACCATTAACGTAGTGGCCTAAGTTTTAGAAGATACATTCCAGGCAGATTTGGGCCACCATTTGGATGCTGATAACTTTAACATGAAAAAGTCCCACTATTAAGTTTTTTAGCTGTCGAACTAAACACGGCCAAGTATTTAGCAATATTACACGTTGGAGCTTGTATTTAATCAATCGTAAATCTCAAACGTTTTACATAAATTAATATTTTTATTACGCACGCTGATCATATATTTAGTTTTAGCTCATGCTGACATAAGTCAGAATATGACAAGGCTTGTAGAATCGCACGATCGTGCGTCCGGCCGTATCGCGTTCGCGGAACCGTATATCGCGCGTAGCAACAGTTGGGCACCAAATCTTAGCGCGCTGTGACGTACGGTCCACAGAGATATTCGATCAACATCGAGTGGGGATCGTACAAAACGAGTTGGACATGTCGAAGCTAGGGGTGCAAAGTCAAAGTCAAGGAGGTGAAAAGAAGGGAACATTCCACTACCTTAACATTAAGAGTATAGGGCAGGAAATGCAGAAATGCGGCTACAAATCTAAACGGCTTTTCGACCTAGCTCCGTGAATAGGATCGGAATGTAGTAGCAATCAATGGTAGCGAAAACGCAATCGGCTGTGCCGAAACTATAGGAGGTCAACATGGCTCACAAGGTCAAACGGGCACAGGGCAGATTTTAAGACATTTTCTGCAGGACATGGTCTGAAAGCGGAGGGCGATATGAAAAACTTGTTTGTATTCAGCGTGACGCTAAGCATTTTTAATCGCTTTATCTGAACGGACGCTATGAAAATGGTCCCTGCTGGCTGACAGTAGCGAGAAGTAAGTGATCCGATTAAACCTTTTGAGCGCCTCAAGAGGAGGGTTAAACATGGATTGTCTTTAGCTGTCTGTTAGAAAGAATTTGACATGCCGGGTTTTGCTAGTAGAATTATCATCCTGGATGTACGAGGCTACAATGTCAGCAAGTGAAATTTCAAAAGCTAAATTTGGTATTAAGAAGGTTTTATGCTCCTTAAATCCTATAATTTCCTAAGTGGCATCTCTGTACTGTGCCAGTATTTACATGTAACGTATGCCACTGCCAAGTGCATGTGGTTGTGGCTGTAGTAGTTTTTTGCCAGGCGTTAATTAGTTAGCAGGTGGCAGCTCTCTCATGCAGTCTGTAGAGCGTAGCGTAGGGTAAAATGGATGAGATGCTGTGAGGCCTAATTTTGCTTTGGCAAATATGTTTGTTGCTGGACTGACTACGATCGGGAAGCTTCCAATCTGTTAAATGTGAAGAACACTATAAGACGGGTACGCGGCCAGTCGAGCTCGTTGGCGAATTTCGATCAACGAGTGCCCAAGCGAGACGAGCGCGTGAGAAGGTGTCCCTAGATACGCATCCTGGTGCATTCCACTGTTTCCGGCGTGGATGTGAACACATTTGGGACTAACAGGTTTACTGAATCCCAACCGGGGCGGGCGACAGGGCGCGATGCAGTGCGAGGGGATCCAAGAGATCCGTCGGGCATCTGACTGCTCTCTGACCACTCCACGCACAGAGTCACGCGCAGAGACGTTAGATGAGCCGCCTGAGTCGCTCCGCGGCACTTGTTTAAATAAATAAGAGAATTCTATTGGCATCCCAGCCCAGTTTAGATTTCATGTTTAATTTCCATGTTTTACCCTAGTTTTCAAGGTCTTTTTATTCTGACATCGCCCATACCTTTTTTTTTTTCACGGAGCGCTTACTTGTAACTAAATAGGTTAGTATCGTCAGCAAGATAATCGAGAACTAAAATTTGAGGCTAAGGGTATAGGCTCATTCACATATATATTAAGAAAAAGAAACGGGACTCAAAGTAGATTCCTGGGGCACACAACACAG